GAAGTGTTAAATGCACATGTGAGACAATGGCTGTTATAAAGCCTAATTTTTTTTACCCTCTCAAAGTGTTGCTTTCAAAAAAAAAGTGTCATTTTCCATTATGTGTATGTCAAGGTGGACATCATGTGTACCCCAGGCTATTTTTGTGACCCCTGCAAAAGCCCATAGAAATATTCCATCATTAAAAGAAATGTCACCAAACATCATGGCTTACCAGCCACTTTCCTGTCTTTGTATTATACGTGATGTATACGACAAGCTGTATAAAAGATTCACCCAGTTTTCAGTGTAAATGTTCCTTCTATGGAGGGAGAATCTAGTCTTCTGTGAAGTGGCCCTCAGGATTGGCATCATATGCTTGATTTTAAATTAAGCGGTTTCACAGAAGGAGAATTTCCTGTCCCAAATTTATAGGACAATTATGTCTCCTGAACAGATTCTCTAAAGGATTGCCCTCGTATGCAGTGAGAATGGAGCAAGAGGGAGCTCTGGGTGAGGAGGCATCATCCCAAATGAGGCAGAGTCTACCCATTTTGGAGGGTGTTTATCACTCCTACAGCAGTCGTCTTGTGTCATATCCCAAACAATTCAGGAAGGCCCATGGCCCTATTTTGGCCCTTACAGAGGGGTAAGGGGACAGGCACTTTGTGAACTTCAAAGATGTACATCAGGATTGAAGCTATAAAGTCTTGTGTGTGGCTACTCCTGCACAATTGTAAAACTAGCCAGCCAATCAACCATAATACTTCCTATATCTTCTGTTTCTAGAAAATATTTAGTAGTGGTTAAGCAATCCCATCACAGGAAAAAGGTGTTTACCAGAAAAAAAGCCATATTCAACTCTTTGCTATTCAATATATATACTGTTGACAGTACAATCAATTCCCTACCTACACTTTCTCCAGTTTTCTGTAAAACATGTATCTGATTATGCTTACTTCATTTGAGTACATGGAAGAAATGTCATTTGTGCAGCCTTTTTACAAGCCGTTATTTTGAATTCCATCTATTACTAAAAAAACAACAGCACATTAACTTGTGATATCTGCAGATATGCTTGTTATTTCAAGATAAAACATATATCTCATGAATTCACCCCATTTAGTTCAAGGATTCAAACTGACAGCGACATTATTTGTCTTAGAGATGGAGTAGGGAGGACTGACCCCTATTCACCAGGATTTTTTTTCAATGCTTGGAGTGATTTCTGAGGCATTTTTGACTCCATGGAAATTGCAGTGTTTTGAGGATTAAAAAAGTAGGATTGGGTCTGAGTATGAGTTTGGATTAAATTTACATGTCTTATATTTCCTGACCCCACTGAGAATTCCAGAGCCCTTTTCCCACTGGGGCTAAGTTGATCAACCCTTTCTAGGATTTTTTAGGTGACCACTCAGAAGTGGTTTACCTTCCCTTCCAGGTGTGCTCTAGGACCATGTAGCTTGCCCAAGGCCACACAAGCTGGCTGTTTTACAAGGCATAGTGGTCAATTGAATATCAGAGCCCTGGCCCTGCAACCAGTTACCATCTCATTGAGTTACCCAGCTTAGACTCATAGTTCACTAAAAATGTCATACAGCATTTTCTGCTCCTTAATATATTACATTGGATGGGGGTGTGTGGGGGAATGCTTCAATGTTAAGCCATAATAATGCCCATCCTCAAGTAGGAGAGGGACAGCAACAAGAAGAATCACAAAAAGGAATACATTTATCAGGACAGTTATTTTTCCAGCTGTTTTTTGGCTGTAAAAGGAAAAAGAAAAGGAACATGGCATGTTTATAATAACTATTCAGGTCACAGTGCCTTAGAATATTGACCTCATAGATCTAGTCTTTGTATACTTTGCAACAAAGTGTGACTGTAAGGGATGAAAATGTCCCATCCTGATGCATAAGGTTTAAAATGATCAAAGTTACCCTAGTTCCTGGATATCTGATAAGCTGATGTTATCTTCATTCTACTGGAGGAAAAATTCAGAGTTGCTTTGAAGTTGGTTTAGACATGCAGTGATCGAAGTTGATCTGTTTTTATTGCTTTACCCATTCTGATTGCCACTTAAAGACATAGTTCAAAACAGTTTTCCTAGGGTGTTAGTCAAATACACCATGGCAAAGTCATTTCAACTGCCTGTAGGTTTTTCTTAAACATCTTAGACTAAGATATGTTGTTTCATCCCATTTCCAATGGTTTTCCAGTAAAATATAAAGAGTAATATTTTCTGGTGCATTTGTCTAGTGTTTTTAGGTTAGCTACTTACTTTATAAATAGTTTTTGTGTAGAGCTTTTAAAAGCTGTTCTCTACAAGTTGTGACCAACCGCAGAATATAGCCCACCAAAGAAGTTTGACAGTCTACCAGAAGCTTGATAACTCTTGATTTTGAGGCCTGCTTGCAGGCTCTCAAGAAATTCCAAGTTACTGCAAAATCTGCAGAACTCCAGAAACTTAGATTTGACTTGTGCTCATGTTACTCTGCCAGTTGTTTAAGCCACTTGAGTTTTGACACTGAATATTGGGATAGAATCAAGTCACTGCTTCAATATTACTTTTGTGATATTTTTAATTGCATGAGAAGATGGGTGATGGTTTGTAACTGACTGTTTTTATTGTAACTGCTTAGGAATCTAGGAAGCAAAACAGAGGTAAAGTTTGGCTTAACTAAATAGCCAGACTATGTGGTCAGATAATTTCTGCCCTCTGACATAAAAGGGATGGAAGCAAGGAAGCTTTTAAATGGATATTTTATGACTTGTGATTGGAATCCATTCATTCATGCTCAAACCACTGCATGTCATCCCTATTAAACTAAAAGTGGCTGTGTGTAGGTGTTTGCAGTGTGCATCTGACTAAACGTAGCATCACACAATCTCTCATACCTTGATCCATTCAGTGACATCATTGTGATTTCAAACTGAAGGGGAATCCTTATCATTGTGTTTTATAAGAAACCAGAAATATTTGTCATGAGAGAAGATTTGAAACCTCTTGACTGATCTGTACTCAAAGACTGTCATTTGAAATTCTATAGCATAGATTTAGATGGCTACATTTAAGATGCTGTTTTGAATTCTGGGGTTTTTCTTCCTTCTCTCAAATTAGGCAGCTGTAAAGCCCAAGGATTCTGACTGAGAGGTGGGAGTGACACCTAGTGGCTATTTCAGGGCTTTTGGAGTCAGAAAAGGTCTTATGGATCTAAGGTTGGATAACTGGCTTACTTATTAGATGAACAAAAGACTACTCCACTGAGACACCAAGACAGATCTAGCTATAGTAAATAGAGGATAATGGGGTGATCCCGCCTCTGTTCCACTTGATCGACTGCCCTTTATGCTTTCTTTGCCATTTCTGATACATATTTAAACAATTTAAAAGAGTTAAGCGTAAAGGTGGGTCTCATTCAGCAATATCTGAAGTTGATTCACTAGCATTTGTTGAGTTTTACTTGTCCCTATAGAAGGGTTAGGATTTTCTTAGTTTATTCTCACATACACAGTGGCCTTATGAAGAGGAAAAACTGGTAAAATTACATACTGAGAGAATAATGGTTTTCCTTTTTCCAAAAAGCACAGATGATCTTGCCCTTTATAAGCCTGGGAGGTCAAGAATTCAGATTACAGTGGTGATCTTGACAGTCCTAAGCACTTTGTCAGGAACTGTAGTTTACAGATGATCTAAGGTGACATGACAAAGTGACACATTTTGAATCCTTGGGCTTTTGTACTGCTACAGCTGTAGCATTCAGATTGAATGAGAGTGGTGCTTTATCAAAAATTTAAGTAGCAAAGGAGTAGCAATGTCTTATCTGCCTTACAATTCTTGCATGGTTTATGTATAAGAAGTCAATTTGAAATGTATGTACAGTATTGCCTAGTACTTATGAATATAAATTATCTTTATGTTAGCTATATGAGCAGAATGACTGGTTGTTCCTCTCTTCCCAGCTTGGGTTAAGGTGTTAGTTATGAACATAAAGTACATATCACAACTGAGTCAGACTATTACTCGTCCAACACACATTCCAGCAATGTTTTGTCAGAATTCCAAAAGTTCGTTATGGAATTACTCAACAAATTATAGTGCTGATTTGAGAGGTAGGGAATGCAATATGCTTGAACTCTTTATTCAGAGAGAATAGCTAGATCGTATAAATCAAGTGAGAAAATGCTGCATTACACATGGATTATTTGGACAGGCTCATAATTGTGGTGTTGCTCAGTGTTACAGTTGTGCAGAACAACTGTCAGGAAGGTTAAAGTTTGATCATTCAATACATTTGACTAAAAATAAGGCTACAAGATAGAAAAAGATTAAAATTAAATTGCATAATGTGAGGCTTATCTGGTTACTCTAATCAAGGGATGAAAATTCCTCAGTTCAGTTCAGATACTAACTATATAATATGGTGGATTATTGAACCATTTTACTTGTGTCCCACAAAAAGTTATAGCGAACCATGTTCTGAATTCCAGAACTTTTGTGGAGTACAGAATTAATTTTTCAAAACATACAGTGATTTTAAGGAGTTTTGAAATTATAAATATGGGGATGTACCTTAACAACCTTGACATTCTAGCCCCCACTGGGTTCTGAACATGTCGACACACATTTTAGCAGTGCATTAGAGTACTTGTAGTTTCTGGACTAAAACATTGGCCTATGTTCATATGATGAGTGCCTTAAGACATGCAATCATGGATACACACACAGTGAGCTTAGACAAACTTTTAAAGAAACCCTGAAGTGATAATTCTGTTTTTAACATACCCTAATGTTTTACTCATTTTACATTATGTTTCTTTCATATAATACTCACCTGACAAATTCATTGTAAGGGCGGCAATACTTAAACTTAAACAAATAAACAACTGTCTCCCCCATCAGATTAATGTGAATTCAGAAAACATATGTGTTGAAGCATTATTTGGTAACAGTGAACATCTCTGGGGTGCACTGGCCACATATGTATAGTACCTGGCTTCTTGTTCTAGTTTTTTTAAAAAAAATAATCCATTGACAGAAAATTGGCCATTATGACAGGACAGAGGAAATAAGATTTTAAAACTCTATATGTCATATAACTTCCCATAAACTGTTTCTATGTCAGAAAGCTTCAAAACAAAGGTTTATACATTTACAACAGCTCCAATGTATTTTTTAAAAAGTGTATACTACTTTAAGGCTTTTTAAAAAAGAAAATGTTTACTTAGGTATGTAATAGAGGACAGAATATTGACAAAATATACCCATGATATTACTTAACAATCTGCCATGCAACACACATGTTGACTAATGAAGAAATAGAATATACAGGCCTAATCTATCACATATCAAACATTTTACAGTTTAGCCTTTAGCCCATTCTTTTTGTCTTTTTAAATATACTTATTTGGCAACATTTACTTCCTCTTTTTTGTATACTTCTGAAATTAACAGTGAATACTGAAATCTAGTCTGTGACAACCTGAGGTACTAAACATTTCTGTCTTACTTCATTGTCTTCAAATGTAATTGTCTTGTTTCTTTTAGGCTCTATCCACGAATTGTGTATTACAGCATTGTTTGGAATAGGGTCAGCTTCAACTATGGAAACAACACGTTTTTTCATTTTACTTTTCAGAACTTTTTGAAATTTCTGTCTAGTAAATGCATATAATAGAGGGTGAAATATGGTGGTTCCATATGCCATGACTAGAAAACATAACCTCAACTTTACCAAAAGGTCACTTGGGCCCAAACATAAAATGGTAGTATTTAAAACTGTAATTGGTGTCCAACAGAGAAGAAAAGTTGAAATGATCAACAGTGACATTCTGAAGACTCTCTTCTGTCTTTCCCGTCGTTCACGATGTCGTTTTACAGCCCGCCGCAGAGCAATTATAACTGAAACTGAAGTTCTTACACCAAAGACAACATTTCTCCCTCCACTGCTTTGTGATACCTCAGTAGTTTCATGTTGTGTGGATAATGAAATTGTCTTTTTCTTTCTTGCCTTTTTCTTCTGTGCCGTGGAAAATCTTGTGCCTATTCGGATATTAAGGGCCTGGAGGATTTTGCTGTATGTAATTAGCATTACTATAACGGTGAAGAAAAAGATTGGGATTTGTACTAAGAGGTGGTAGTACATGCCTAGTTCTGTGTGGTATTCATTTGCACTGACACACAGGAGTGTCTTATTTTCCCAAGTATTTGCACTGTGAAGACTGAAGAAATTTACTTCAATAAATGGAATCAAAAATGAGAAAAAAGAGACAATCCATATTGATGTCATGAGGATTACAGCCCTTCCCATTGTCAAAATACGATTAGCAGGTTTCACAGAGATATCATATCTATCCAGAGTAATGGCAAAGACATTGATTGCAGTGGAAACGCTTGCGAAGGACACACAGGCCTCATGGAAGCAGCAGATAAGTGCAGAGTTATTCTCGAGTGAAAGCAAAAGAATAACTATAGTTAGAGGAATACATCCCACACAAATGATTACATCAAGAACGTGAAGGTTCATAGTAATAATGTTACTGACAGAGTTGATTAAGTTGGATTTCATGCAGTAAAGTACCAATACTGTGAGGTTGCTGCCAAGTCCCAATACTATCTCTAACATCAGAAATCCAGTGAGAGAAACTTGAAAGCTTAATGGATAAGACAGTGGCTGGTACATATTGGTGTTGATGTCATCAATGGCATCTCGAACTGTAATGTTAGATTCAGACTGCATGTTGACTTCTGGAATGGAAGAGAAACACATTCTTTTGTTGGAAGTTTGTTTTGCCCTGAAAGACGAGAGAGAAGATATGAACCTACTTGATTCTGGATGCTCTTAATAATTTGCAAAGCTATAGAGAAGCAGGTTTTGGTTTACATTGCATTTTAATTAACATACAGTGGATTTGGGATTCTGTTTAGTTTATCAGAGCTTAAGTGTGCAAAAGAAAGTAATATTGTTCTTTTAAAGAAGTTGTAACAAAGGCAACATTTGTATTAGAAACTGAATGCATGTCTAGTTCTGGCCTCCAAGCTTGCTGAAAAACTAAGTTGGATTATTTTACATATGACTTGCGTGGAAAAATGAGGTGACTATATGTGAAAGAGGCAGAAGTTTGCCCTCTTTTTCCTGTGGGTATTTCTTTATCCTGACAGTCATGTGTAGATGAAAATGGTCTGACATCAGCTTCCCTTGTAGCTCTAATTTTACTGAGATGCTTCAGTGTTGTATTACTTTTTTCTTGTAATTAGTGTGTATTCAGATGACCAGACTATATAAAATGTGTATGTCTGTGTCTATGCTCTTTGTGTAAAATAGTGCAGTTAAGTATATTATGAATTCTGTGAATATATACACAAAGCTGGACACATGCACACATTCATTGATTGTAATTCTGAAAGTTTTTCAGTATATTGTATATGTCCTGAGTTTCCTTACATTTTCAGTTCCTGTAGACTCCAGCAAAAAATGGTTTTATATGGTTAAGTTACCAACATTCATAAAGCAAGAAGATACAATCACATTCTGCTTGGAAGAGAATACATATGTATATAGACTGATCTAAGTGGATGGTTTGTGAGGGGGTGTTCTGTGAAATACTGTATTATTACTTCTGTCATGAAGATGGGCAAGTGAGCGGGATAATGGTAATTGCCGTCTTATGACTTTTGCTTTTTTGCCACACCCTTAGCATTGTATTGCAGTGTGAAATATTTATGAGAGATGCTTTATACTGTTCTGTTTCTGAAAAATGAACCCTTTCCAGTCTTGTAGAGATTCTGCGGTGTAATTCTATGCATATTTACTAAGAAGTCCTACAGGATTTTTCACTTAGGTAGGTATACATAGAATTGAAATCTGAAAGAAATTTTGATGTATCAACATATTTTTGAACCCTTCACAAAATAAACCCCTTAAAAATTAACCAGATGAGATCATGAAATGCATTATTTCCGTTGGAAATGTCAATAATAGACTTTTCTGAGTTACCAAATAATCAACATATTTATTTGAAGAGTGACTGTGATTCTTTTATCTACAGTGTAAAAATGTGATCTCTCACTATAAGCAAGGGTATGATGGCTTATATGGCAATCTTATCTACGCATGTACAATCTCAAGTCACAAGCAGTTTTAACAGTCATTTCAAATATATTATAAATTATATTGCTTTGTACTAGTTAACAAGAAACTCAGATCCAAAGTTGGTCAGCTGAAACAAGCCATATGATAGCTTATTCTGCACGAGTAAGCTATAAGAAAATGCAAACTGAAATCTTACAAAAATGGAAAATGTTCCATGTGCCAACTTTTAGACGGACAGATTAAACATCAGGTCTTCATCGCATCAGCTAGATGTTCAGTTAAATAAAACCAGAAATGTCAAGATGCGAAGATAATTAAAACAAAATGTATCAGAGCTGTGCTCTGTTCTGTTGTAAATGTTAAACTGATTTTGGGTGCATGCAGCCTCTGACCTACCTGTTTTCTGTTGCCTCAAGGGGCTTTCAGCTTGCTATAGCAGCTTGTCATAAATTCATACATGGTGTCACTGACAGATTTTGACATGCGTTTTCACCTGGCAACAGAGATGGCTGTGATCTGTTTCCTGCCTTGCAGAGTATTTTAGTTTTCTTTTTTGTTCCCACACTTCAGCAGCAAATTAAATAACGATATTTGTTTGTCTGATATGTTTCCAGAGACCAGAGTCCAATGTATATGAATTATTTTTATTTTTAAAGCCATCCATCAATAGCAACAATTCTGTAAGTTGTTCATCACGTCTCATTCCTTCTGTGTTGTTTGGCACCATTTTTAATAACAAAATGAAAATCAATATTAGTTAACTGACTTCAAGAACCATTAGATCTCCTGTTGTAGCAGTTGTACACTGATTTTGGTGATATTCTTGATCCTTAGTCTGGACTCACAAGTTTGCCACATAAATAAGTGTATTTTATTAATCCATTTCCTGTGTTTTCCTTTGGAGCCTTTATCTGTATCAGCTTGTTTGTGGCAGTTTCCTTGAACTTCAGTAACTGTACCAAAAGACCGAAATAACACTTTATAGAGGTATTTAAACTTCCATGGATCCTAATTTTGGTTTGCTGGTGTTATCCAGACATTCTGTCAGGGAAGAATTTTGCAGTTTCTTCATTCATTAGCCATATCCATAGTTCCAGTTTTGTTTTATAAATCCATTTGTAGAGGATGCTTACCATTTTGCTTTAGCAACAAGCCATTGAATAAATCCTCTGTTATTTAGCAAATATCTTTTTAGTCTTCCATTTATGCAAATGAATTATATATCATTTGAGGGGAAATGTGAACCATCATTTTTTTCTCAATCCTTTATGTTTAAACATATGTATTATAAGCCCATCCTGAAGCTTGTAAGACGAAGTGCTATGAAGATCCCCAAGCAATTGTGTTCTTCATCTTTTCAGTAACAAAACTGTATTAGGTGCTGTGTACCCAGAGAAAGGAAAATAAAACATGTTAGATATTCTAGGGGGAAATGAATAAAATAACAAGTAAAAATACTTTAATCTGATTACACATAAATATTGGCTTCTATGAGAAAATGTAAAAAAAATGCTTGTTGTCAGGAAGCATATAGCATTAACAAGACTACTAAGTATTTCCAAATATGGTACTTCTTCCCCCACCCCCTGTCATTTCACTTGGTTCTGCTTAGACTAGATGTTTTTTTTTAAATATTGAAAGCAAAGGAAATGAGAGCAGTAGGGAAGGAAATGTTGCTCCAATATACATTCATAGATAGTATGGATAGTAAATTTAGTGAGATACAGTACGAGTTCAACATTACTGTCTTGACTTCATGTGACCACGTAAGAGCCTCAGCTGCTCTGTGGGAATGATAGCGAGCCTAATTTGCACATGTCTTCTGAATTCCTTACTTCATGTAATCTTATTTACATTCCACTTATTCAGATATCCTTCAGTAGCAAGACATCTAAGAAAGTGGCACCATTAGGGATTAGTCATATAACCCATCCTCCACAGAGAAGTATCTGTGATCCTTTGTGGAGTATTTTATTTTATTTGCGATATATGTCTCTGTCTGGTCTTCTTAAAATTGCCTTCACAACCCCCGTTACGAAATATGTAGCACATAGAAATTTAAGCTATACCAGAAACACAGCACATCTTAGGCATTTACAGGCAAAACATTTACTATGGATACCTTTTTAAATGGAAGCAGCATGTCAGTGTTAATGTGTCATCATCACACATAAGAACACAAAGTCAAATGAGAACTTTAGCTTGAACCTATTAGCTTTCCTCTTTACAAAGTAATTTCTTAAATGCTGCCGAGGCTCCATACCATAATAAGGAATGTACCTTACCTCTACTGAGGATTGAATAAATTCCCGAAGGTGGTGGAGCAGTTCCAGGTTGGAGGGATTCATTGTTTTTGTTTTTGCTTTTGCTTTTGTTTTCACTTGTTAGCAGAGTAGAGGGGGAAGAGGGTGAAAAGCATCTCTCCAAAATAAGACCTTATGGAAAATTTGTGCTTGTGCTGTGCCATTGTTTCAGCGTTTTGTTCATGCACACAGCCTGTAGTGCTGCTCTTAGAGCTTGCTGCAGTCCCCCACTTCGCCCTGTAGAATCAATAAGCATTTGCAAATGCATAATGAAAGTAATTTAACATACTGAAGGCTTCTTGTCTCCAGAGACACAACACAGAGGTTCAGCCGTTCTGAAGAGGAGCAGCTTTGCTGCTTAGGAAATCTTGTTCTGGGCAGCTTGTGCAGAATGACAGCCTACCTTGTCGCTTCCCTTCACTGCAGAGAGATGCAGTGCATTCACTAATTTTGATTGGTCAGTGATGTTGGGCTTAAGCTGTGCTTCATGCATATGGGAGTGAATTTTCTTTTTCTTTTTTTGACAGGAAGATTCTTTTTTAAAGAGGACTGATTTTTAAAAACAATTTATACATAAAGCCTTGGATATATTAAGAACGTTAGTTTTAGTGTTACCATTTCATACAGTGTTTTTCTAGCTCATACAATATATGCCATGTGCTATATAAGAAAACACTAGTAGGAGGAACAAGTGAAATGTATATCTTTATTATGTTTAAACAAGTATATTTTTCTTACATGATGTGTATTTTAGAGTCTTTGTTCTATGACTCCCAATTGGTGTCTGTCCTTTCCAGTTGGTGATATTCAGCCTTTTCTTGTTTTTTTTTAATATGGAGATCAGCTTTTGATGCCCACTTCCAGCAATGGTAACAGCACAATGAGGAAATAATAGAGGAGATCAATTCAGTTATGGTTTGTGTGGATGATCATTTCAATTTAGTTTAATTGTTTTGATATATAATATATGTCCTACCAGCTGTGGTTTCCATGAATTCCAGTTTGGTGCAGCTTCACCACTTGTTCCAAGCAGTGCAACAAATGATAAAATTGTGTGAATATTATTTCTCTTTTGATGGAGGATGCAAATGAATGCTTCCACATGCAGTTTTCTTCTTAAACCCTTTCTTCTGGATATTTTTCTTTTTGTGCATATTTGTTTAAATAATATTTAATGTTTTATTACTTATTAGTAAAAACATCATTACAGTACTTGTATTCTGTGATGAGTTGTGAAGCCAAGAGGTGAAGTTATGGGTTTTGGTTGGGTCAGGAAAGTTCTTCTAGATGAAAATAATAAATATCTAAAAATATCTAAATACAAGCCTTTTGTTAGGTTTAAGAATCCATTAGTCTAAAATAATGTGTTAATATCTACTTATAGATAGCTTTCAAGCCAGTGGGAACATTATGAAATCCATTTTTAACAAGAGGTCTGACGCTTTAGCTGTAGAAATTGTAGCAGTGAAACACTATCCTGTACGGATAGCTTTGACTGTAGGTTTGGCATCCTTCATGTATGTAAATGACTTCTTATCTCTGTTGGAAGAATTGATAAATAATAATTATAGCCATGACATCTGTAAACATTTTTTTTTTAATTTTGGAAAATAAGCAAATTATTTGTATGATTCTAAATGTAGTCGTTAAACTCAGTTGTTCATAGTTAATTTTATGACACTGGATTATCAAACTGATATAGCCAAATTTTCATGCAATTAATAGTTTCAGGACTCTAGGTATTCACAATCTGTAATTCCTATTAATTCTGCCCCTCCTTCCAAAAGTGTGAATGCAGGGTGGAACCATCATATCTCTTCCTGTCCGTCCACATCTCATTTCAACAAAGGTGCTGGTTTGGTTAATAACATGCATATTTACGGGCCTCCAAAATACGTCATAGGCGAGAACTCCTTTCATAATCTAGCACAATATTCTGAGGACCTTTGTGGCATTTTTCTAATTCGCACATATACGTACTTTGTTACTCTGTATATAACACGTGACTATTTAGTTTTATTTCAGCACTAAATCCATATACATTATCTCTGTTAGGTTGTATACAAACATGTTTAGGATCCGAATGAAATGTCCTTATAAATTCATTAATTCTACCCTCCATAATCATACCTGGATACATAATAAAACCAACCTCATCTGCATTCCCTTCAAACAAACCCTGTTCCTCCTGTATTATTTTAAAGTAGTTGTAGTTTCTGTCAAAAGTCTACTATGACTACAAGCTTGTTGGTAAAGCTTGTTTAGTCTTTTACCTTGTTCTTATTTATCTCTGTGGAAAACAAGGAAGGTAGAGGGAACTTTAGGGGAAGTGGAGATACAGGCCTTAGTGGGATGGGTGATGAGGCTATCTGAACAGTGGCACTGGAAACATTGGGGTCATCATTTTCCCAGGGCAGAGATGGTTAACAAGATAGAGAAATATAAAGGACACATTTAGTGCTTGGCTCATGAGTTTGAGGTGAAGGGCATCACCAGTTATAGAGGTGTCTGAGAAGGCAGATGGTTAGTGGCTGGCAGAAGAGGCTAAAGACAAGAAAGGAATGTGAGACTTCCGCAGATTGAAACACTTAGGAGGAGGAGCATGAAGTCACTAGTAGCTAAACTCAGGCCAAGAGAATACCATAGCAGAAAACTAGCAGCAGAGCCTTTGTCCTGTCTGGGAAGCGTGGGTGAAACAGGACAACATGTAATTACAAGAAGCAAGTGTATTTCGCTCAGAATTGAAGAATCCAGCCCAGCTTTGAATTTCTGCAACTGCTGTGAGTTAAAGGAGATCTCTGGGTCACTGACTGCAGTAACCAAATAAACAAGCATTTGTTGGAGATGGCACTCTGATCTAGTTGCCAGGAAAGGATCCAGAATGGGATCATGCAGCGTAGAATTCAGAGGGAACCATTTGTCTAGCCCTTTTACTGGCAAACAAATAAATTCTGCTGTCTGCCGTCTTTGGAGTTACTCCAGATCTATTTCAGAAGACACTTCAATATATCCTGAAATTAGAGGGAACTGTTTTTGTTGGTTTTCTATTTATTCCTGTTGAGTTTCACAGCTGTGTCCCTTTTTCAATTGTCAGTTTTGCCTCAGCATTTTCTCTGAAGGTGTGATTATGCTTCATGTTTATTAGCAGCAAGCTGAATACATAGGACATTGACTTTTGTTGTGATAATGATACAGCATACAATTGTCCTCTCTCTATACTTCAATCTGCATTTCATCTCTTGTAATTAACCCCTTCCCTTTTAGTTAGGCGCAATGTCTGTCACATGAATTCAATGGGCAAAATCCTGTCTGCATAGTTGCCTTGACATAAACCAGATTCAGGCACCAGAAATAATTAACTTAAACCCATGGAAAGCATTCTATCCTTCTGTTTTGCTTCCGAGGTTTCCTAGGGTTCCCTTTTACCCTGGGGAAAACTTTGGGAGCCTTGGGATAGAGGGGCAGAGCCTGAAGTAGTAAAAAACTGCTGCAGGATCCAGCAGTGACCTTTGACTATTAACTCCCCCGCCCCACAAGAGATTTAAATATCAATTATATCCTACTTTAGGCATCTTTTTTCCTAAGCTAAATGTTCCCCAATGTGAGCCTTTCCTCATATGACCACTTTGTTGCCTTCAATATCCTTCCTGAGACAGGTTACCAGAACTAATTAGTGCTTCATTTGCTGCCACGCCATGATTCCATTATGGTATCATCAGTTATTTATTCATTATGATCTCTTGGCTAATCACTGCCATTTCAGAACTTGTCAGTTCATATACAAAGTTAAGACATCAGATGATAGGTTGGGGTGGTTGCATTGTTGTTCCCTCCAGTAGAAATTAAGTTGATGAAGAAGAAAGTTGGGATAAAACCCTTTCTTTACCTTGAAATTCAATTTTATATTTTGTAATAGAAAGTACTAAAGTAGGCTGATTTTTCCCCCCCACATGCCATTTGAGATCGGAAAGTGCAGCTAGTGCTCCATATTGTGACTCTGTGGAATATGTTCTGTGTGAAATGAGGAAAAATATTTTATGAAAGATGAGTAGCAAAGCCACATAACTTCATGTTGATGTTTACTTATTACAAGACATACATATCACATAAAATAATAAGAAAAAGTTTGTTATGATAAAAATGTGTTAAGCAACTATGTTGGAGAAAGCAACTTCAAGAATCACAATCCAATGTTTTTCTGCCTCCCTTCTCACAAGCAATTCTGTACCACTGGAAAACTTGATGGCTTGTCTCTGTTTTCTCAGCTATAGCATAAACAAGTAATTACATCATATTAAGTTGAGGTGATGTGAACCACTGATGAACAATGCTTTTGAGAGTGCTCTCCACCATGGATGAATTTGTGCTCTCTAATGCAGTACATAAACATTTAAAACATATGCAATATACTGCTAGGATTTAGTAGATACATATTTAGAAAAAGAGTATTATTCTTTGATTGTTTTTAAAGAAAAGTTTTGGCATCAAGCTTCACTGACATATCAGTGTTCCCTATCTTTTAAAACCTTACATTGAGCATTATATTGCTTTCAGTGAATTATTGAACATTGCTGTAATTAAAAACAGTCCTCATTCAGTGTGGTTCTCAGGTTTTCCAACCTTATGTATTAACAATTTTCTTTGGTTTAAGGTGCTTTTGACCTTGTGTCAAGGGCTCTACAGATTCTCCCAACAACTGTAATTTAATTAGAGTAAGCTTTTAATGATAATAAAACCATTTGGATTTTCGTATGGGTGCTTTTAACTGTTAGAAATCTAGACAATAATAAAAACACAGCTGCAGGACACTGTTGCCTCTTGTGAAGCATATATGTGTATGGATTCATCTGGTCAGATTTTCTTCCCCTCATCATCAGGCAATCTGGTGGTGATGGTGTTTCATAATATGTTAAGTTGTGCAGTAATGGATGTAAGTTCTTGTAAACTTATTTGTAGAAGAGCATTCTATGAAGCTGATTAAAATAGGTATTAAATGCACATGATTTTTGCCCCAGTGCAGCTAAAATTGGTCACGAGAGCTTCTAATGGGCCCCTGCTACATTTGATTTTACTCAAATGTTCAGGACATGAGGTAAAAAAAAAAATCAAGGCAATGATCCAGCTCTCTCTTTACTTTTATTACCAACAAGTAAGCCCCAGATGCAGTATTTGTGGCATGCTTATATGTGTTCGTGCATTGCTTGGTTTTACCATCTTCATTTAAAAATAAATGCCAGCTTTTCAATTCTGCATTAAGCACACTGTGCAAAATCGAGAAAACTGTGAATTTCTCTTTTATGAAAATTTGTGGAAGGATAAGAATTAAGCATATAATTTGTTTCATTCTTCTACATAAGCTGCGTTGGGACCAAAAAACCTCCACAGCCCCAGTATAAAATATTTTTATGAACAGGTGAGATGTGATAGTGT